TCCGGTGCCCCGCTTCCTCCGCGGGAGTGGGCTGAATTCTTTCCGTTTACTCACACCGCAGGATCTGTGCGTACCTGCCCCTTCGGGTGGGGGTGGGAGAGCTGCCAAAGTTGGAAACCGAAAAAAGCCAGTCCTGGGCGTTTGAGCATGCCCGGCGCCGGCAGCCACGCAAGGGTTTGCAAAATGTAAACCTCTGTCGGCTGGCGTTTCAGAGCCGTGGGAAACAGAGGGCGCTGGGAAGGGAATGGAGTCCTGGCGAAACCAGAGATGGGGACAAGATGGGGACAAGGGAAAAACAGAAAAGTCAGGGGAGGGGGTTGGAGAGGGGAGAAGATCAACTGTCTTCCCACCTTCTTCTCTCTTTTCTTTTCATCCTATCCTCCTTGAATGTTTCTTTTCACAAGCAGAACACATTTTGAAGGATTTCCTTATAACCTGAAAAAATGAGACAGGGAATCAAAGAGTATATTTTAAACTGACAAGAGCGATAAAACACACCCGTACAAACAAATCCTACACCGTAGCAGATCTCTTCTACCGCAGCATGTGAGCTTCCATGCCAAGTTTCGAACTAATGTTTATGACCATGTTAGTAACTCATTTGGGGGTATGTCATTCCTTTTTGCAGGCCTTAGCATATTTGCCTATAAAGTGAGAAGGAGTTGTCGGCTGTCACCTCATCCTTTCAGCTCTAAGAGGTCTGAGGAAGAGGAGCTCCTGGGGCCTGCGGAGACATCCACCAAGTATAGTAAATGAGAATAGACTAAAGGTCTGGTCTTCCCTGTAGTTTGCACTACCTCTTTCCCCTATAGACACCACAGGAAATGATCACTGATTGGAAGATGGGGCTAAATTGCAAGGAAAAAATTCTTCCTTGATGTATTCAAAATTAGGAAATTTTGCTCTTTGGTTTTCATCTGGAAGACTTATTTTCTAAACGTCATTTGGGAAAACTGGTCTTGAGTTTTCCAAGGTGAGGCTGAGCTGATGATACAGGCAGAATAGTTTTAGAGTGGGTCACTAAGACCAAGCAAGCCTGGGAGCTAGCAGAGATTGTCAGTTCCTTTCTTATGGGACACACCCTTTCCCTGTTCTCCTACAAGAGTCAAACTTGCTAGGCTGAAGAGATGCAATTTCAAGACCTGCCTTAATTTTTCCCATAGCCTTTTGTAATATAACAATAAAAAGGAATAATCTTTAAATGTACCGAATCACCTTCCACCCTTTTTGTAATTCTTTGCATGCTAAATGTTAAAGCATATCAGGAACTCTGGAATTAAGCTTAATAAAATCAAATTTCAACACTGTGTATTAGACATTTGGGATTGTTATTGTAAGTCAATAGGTTCAGGACAGATTGAATGTGGGACCCACAGTCTCAGCAAAAGATGAAACAATCATGGCTGAGTTCTGGTGGAAATTACTACAAAAAACTTGTGTTTTGGAGAAATGAAGATGTAACAGAATTATACACATTACTCCTCTTTGTAAAATTTGTCAAATAGGTGAAAAGATTAAATGTAATACATAAGAAAATAAGAACTGCAAATTACTTTTTATGCAGCAAAACTTTTAAGAGGATGGAAAGTAACTGATAGGTATGGGGGAAATTCTAAGAGAAGAAAATTTTTTAAACTAGTTTGAAGGAAGTGATAATAGGATATTGGTGGGCAGTTTCAAGGAATATATATTAGACAATTCAGGCTGGCATAATAAAATACCATAGTGTGGCTTAAACAACAACAGGAACATATTTCTCACAGTTCTGTAGGATTGTAAGTCTAAGATTAAGGTGCCAGCTGATTCAGTTTCTCCAGTGAGGGCTCTCTTCCTGACTTGCAGATGGCTGCCTTCTTGCTGTATCTTCGTATGTCAGAGAGAGAAAGAAAGAGTGAGTGCCAGCTCTGGTCTCTCTTCCTCTTCCTATTTTTATTTTTTATTTTTTATTTTTTGAGTTGAAGTCTCACTCTGTCTCCCAGGTTGTGGTGCAGTGGCACGCTCACCGTCACCACAGCCTCCACCTGCTGGGCTCTGGCGATTCTTCCACCTCAGCCTTCCAAGTAGCTGGAATCATAGGTGTGCGCAACCACGCCTGGCTTATTTTTTGATTTATTGTGGAGACTAGAGACGAGGTCTCACCAAGTTGTCCAGGCTGGTCTTGAAGCCCTGAGCCTAGGCTGTCGTTTCACCTTGGCTTCTCAAAGTGCTGGGATTACAGGCTTGAGCCACCACATCCGGCCTCTCTCTTCCTATTCTTACAAGGTCACTAATCCCATCATAAGGTCCCCACTCTCAGAACCTCCTCTAAACCTCATTACCTCCCAAGACCCCACCTCCAAATACTGTCATTTTGGTGGTTAGAGATTTGGGGAAACACAAACATTTGGGCCATAATAGGGTATATTAAGTTTGAGAGGAAAAACCAACTAAAGGGTTAATATGCAAAGTAAAGCAATTGTTTTATAATTGTAGTTTGACTGTGAAGGGTAAGAGAATGTATGGGACAAAGTTAGAAGACAGTTTTAAATGTTAAGGTGAAGGGTTGAACTTGATACAATGGGTACTAAGTGTCCCTTACATTCTCTGAGTTGGGCAATAGATGTCAACAAAAAAAAAATCTTACAACCACATGAAAAACAAATGGCTTACCAGTAAGTGGATTGTGTTAGTAATCCAAATATGAGGCAGTGAGAGTCACTCAAGCTAATAACTTTCATAATTATGATGTTGCAAAATATGATTCAACAACCTTGTCAAGGAGGTGGAGCAGATTTTATTATTAACTCATCTGTTTTATAAAGAGTGAAATTAAAATTAGAGAGGTAAAAGCACTCTACTTCAGCGTACTGTTTTCTCAACACCATATTTTTTTTTTTTTTTTGAGTTGGAGTCTCTCTCTGTCAACCAGGGTGGAAGGCAGTAGCACGCTCTCAGCCACCACAGCCTCGACCTGCTGGGCTCAGGCGATCCTTCTGCCTCAGCCTTCCAACTAGAACAACAGGCTCACGCTACCACACCCAGCTAATTTTTTTGATTTATTGTAGAGATGAGGTCTTGCCAAGTTGCCAAGGCTGATCTTGAACCCCTGGAATCAGGCAGTTCTCTCACCTAGGCCTCCCAAATTGCTGGGATTACAGGTTTAAGCCACTGCACCCGGCCATTTATTTTTTTAACAGCTTTATTGAGATATAAATCACATACCATAGTATTTACCTATTTAAAGTGTACCATTCAGTGGCTTCTACATTAACAGAGTTGTGCAGCCATGACTACAAAAATTGTAGAATCCTTTATCATTCCCCCCCAAAAAAACCTTACATACTTAGCCATTATCCCCAATCCCTCACTAATCAATTTCTGTCTCTTAAAATTTGCCTATTTTGGACATTTTACAAAAGAGTAATCTTATAGTATGCAGTATTCTGTGACTGGCTGCTTTCACTTAGTATAAAGTTTTTCAGGTTTATTCATGTCGTAGTATGTACAAGTAATTCATTTCTTCTTATTGCTGATTAATACTGAGCATTATATGTCAAGAGAGTTAGATAGACATATGTTAAGACAAAATTAGGATGCATTCAGCTGAGAGCATAAGTTTTTTGTTTTTGTTTTCTATTTTATTTTTTGAGTAGAGGTCTCACTCTGTTACCCAGGCTGGAGTGCAGTGGCACGTTCATGGCTCACCACAACCTAGACCTCCTTGGCTCAGGTGATCTTTCTCTCTCAATTTCCCAAGGGCTGGGACTACAGGTGCATACCACCACGCCTAGCTCTGTTTTTTGTTGTTGTTTTTTTTGGTTTTTTTTGGAGAGACAAGGCCTCTCTGTGTTGCCCAGGCTGGTCTTGAACTCCTGGGCTCAAGTGATCCTCCTGCCATGATCTCCCAAAGTGCTGGTATTACAGGTGTGAGCCACCACACCCAGTCCATGGAGAGCATCAGGTTTTAAAATAGCTTCAAAAGATGCCATAAAGAATGTTTGAGGAAACTGGGGATATTTAATGTAGAAATGGAAAGCTACAAAGTGACATAACAGCTTTTTTCAAATGACTGAAGAGATACCATAAATCAAAGGGAATAGACATTTTCTGTCTGACTTCAAGGTGGTATTGAAAGAAAGCTACAGCAAACAAAATTTTACGTTGGTGTGAGGAAGAACAGTATATGATTCCTGCAAAAGAAAATGGGCAAAATCAGAGACTCATTCATTTTTATGAAGATGTAAAAATATAGACTGGGTGATCTTATATTGGGCATAATCTATAGCTAGATGAACTTTTAGGATCCCTTCTATGGTTTGAATGTATCCCCCAAGTTCATGCATTGGAAACTTAATCCCCAACACAATAATGTAGAATGGTGGGACTATTGAGAAGTAATTAGGTCATGAGGGCTCTGCCCTCATGAATGCATTAATGCCATTATCTTGGGAGTAGGTACTTATCACAGGGATGGGTTTCTAATAAAAGGATGAGTTCAGCCCCTCTCACCCTTTCTTTCTTTCTCCCTTGTGTGCATGTGCTTATATGCCCTTCTACCTTCAATCTTTTACATATGCCTTGGGTGACATACCAAGAAGGCCCTCTCCAGATGCAGCCCCTAGACCTTGGACTTCTCAGGCTCCACAATGGTAAAAAATAAGTCTCTGTCCTGTATAAATTACCTAACCTAAGGTATTCTGGTATAATGGAACAAACAGACTAAGATGCCTTCTACCTTCCAACCTTGAGATTCTAAATTATTTAGAAGTCAAATGGAATTTGTGTCAGAACTGACATTAAAATTTTGAAACTCCTTTTGGCATCCAGCACTTCGCCTGCAGACAAACAAGAAAAAGTGGGAAAGGACATGTTGGTTTGGTGTGTTGATAGATCAGTGTCATGATAAGGAAGAACTATAGAGAAAGATAGAGGCAGGACTATCTGACATGTAGGAAAGTGATGCAGAAAGGAGAAAATGAGAGAGATAAGAAAGGTAGCATTTATCTTTGGCTGGCTAAATTGGGAATAGATGTGGCATGTGGACATGTCTCCATTGTTTGCATTCCTTTTGCTTTCTAAATGAGAAAGAGTTTGTTTTGAGTAGAGGGGAGGAATATTTTGGAAGATAGAGGGTGGAGTTAGCATGACATCTGTACTTTCTATAGTTAAAAAGGACTCAAATCAAGACCATTTTCATTAGTGGTGTGAGATTCTGGGCAAGATTGAAAAACAAAAGCCCAA